ACGAATATTATTTTAAGTTGAATTTTATGGTTTTATCGTGTCGAAGATTTATTTTATTTGCTAACGATAAAATGAGGTTAAAATAAAACGAAACGCTGGTTGTATAAATTCGTGGGCTCCCCGTTGTTTCTGTATGAACGATTTATTATTTGAAATTGCGTATAATCAATTTTTCTCTTGTATATTAACGTTTTGTTATCATGAACGTATTTACATTGTTGAGCAAAGTGTACGTTCCATCTGTTTCCCATCAATTTTGTAACAAACGTTTCACTCGGCCCACCGTGGGATTACTAGCTAAATGAATATGCATGAGATATACGTATGAGCAGAGGGTGTGGATGTACATGCGTGAGAATTATTTATATATATATATATATAATAAAAAAAACGTTATAATTCTTTTCATTTCGCGAATAAATAAATAAATAAATAAATATGGAGGATTGTGTGGAGAAATAAAACGATCGATAAAATAACAATGAAACAAATAAAAAGAAAATATCGAATCGATATCGTCGTCGTCGAGTATAAATATTTCGATTATATTTCACTTCGTTCAAATTAATAATCGACGATCCGAATTATTAAAGGGGGGAAAAACGTAAAAATCGGGGGGGGGGGGGGAAGGAATACCTCGACGATAAATTCCCGTATGATGGATGATAACAAGAGCCAAGGGATTCGAAAAACAAGAGTTTAGTTAGCGGGTGTACGATACTATAGATCGAGGGATAGTTCGGTTCGGTGCTAGTTTGAAATTTGTTGCAAGTCGAGTTTGCGGGCGAGGCATCGCGTGTTTACCGTGTCCCTTCGATCGAAATAATTATTCTATCATAATAACCGCCACTATCAAAGCCGAGGAAATTACCAAAGTTACGAATTTCCTTTGTGAAAATGAAATTCTAAATAATATTCGTTAAACTTGATTTCATCTTGCAAAAACTCGATAATACCCTGACACTTTTAATTTGATTCCAAGGAGGATGAAAATGAAGTTATAAGAAAGGAGCCTAACAATAATAAATATTTGAAATTATGTGATAAAATTGGAATGAAAGTAAGATAGATAAGTATATCGACGAAAAAGTAAGTCCACTGATATTAATAAAGGAAGTACGAAAGATTAAAATGACAGATTTACATCTGAATCTGAGTGCGCAGGAGGACGTGTTGGAAAGGGAAAATTTATGATGGCGCATCCCCTGTAGGTCGAATGAAATTTCCTATAAATAAAATTGAAGGAAAACGAAAGAGGAGAAATGTATGGAAAGGTGGTTCTCGTTCGGGGCATTCTTATTGCGGAACAATTATTTCGAAGTCTCTTAGACAAATACCCGCCAGGTTTTCCGCGGGTGCGCTGCGTTTCTTCCAAGAATAAATTCCAAAGTTTCGAAGGAAACGCTCTGCTTTCGCCAGGCTCGTTCCACCACGCTCTTATACCCTCGCGTTTTCTCTCAGTTCGACGATCCACTGTTCTCTCTCTCTTTCTTTCTCTCTCTCTTTTCATCTCTCTCTGTGGAACCGGCGTTCCGCTAGAAGAAACTGGAAAGGCCACGATTCTGAGGCAACAAACGGCAGGAAACAAGCGTTTATGCCTCTGATTTCTGCGCCACGATAATTCAACGGAATCAGACGTTTCGACTGTTTATCGAAACATTGACTCGTTCCATTTTCTCCTCCCGTCGAATCGTCATCACGAACGATATTTAATACGTTTATATCGAATATTATATCTGTGCAGATACGATTAATATCTCGGCTCGATTGAAAGGGGTATTGAACGGAGCGATTTGAAAAGTATCGTGAAATCTCTCGTCGGATGTGAATAAAGGGGATTGAAAGTCATTCGATCCTTTTATCCTCGTTTATTCGTTGAAAAACAAGTCGGCCGATTTCTATGCACAAATTTCTATCTCCCTCGGATTAATCCCCGAATTAATTAAGTCCAAAATCATATTCGAATTCCGTACATTTCCATTTAAAACGTATTCGGCTATTGAAATCATCGTTTATCCCATGTGTTGATAATACAATTATCGATTAAAGAAAGATTCTTCTTCGTTTGAGATTGAATCTAACATTATCGTTCGAACCAATTTAAAATAACGACATAACGTTCATCGTACAAAGAATTCCAAAGAATAGCCGCACTGTTCAAAAATTGTCAAAAAGATCGGTCGACCCTTCTCGACCCTTCCCCCGTCTGGATTAACATCCATCGTATCAGCGTACCAACGTTCGTCAAAAAAGCACCGAATCTCTGTTCCTCCTCCCTCCTCCTCCTCCTCTTCCTCGAGGCGAATTCGAGGTTGCACCGCTAATGACACAAAAATGCTCCAGTTTCCAAATCATTACCCAAAATCAGTGGTCGCCGAAACGAAGGAATTAACGACGCGAGACGAGGGAGGGAGAGAGCGCGTATCCTCGCGAAAAAGCTTGCTCATCGCGGCGTGGTTTTGCACCCCCGTTTATCCCCTCCTCGAATAAATTTTCCAAGTTTCGCTCCCTCCCCTTCCTTTTTCACGGTCTTTAGCGCGACCGTGAGACATAGGGCAAGAAAGAAAGGAGGGGATGAAGAGGAGGGGGATGCATTAAGGACGAGGCGCGACGGTTGCTCGGAATATGGATCATTTGCTTGTGGAAATGTTCACGGATATTTTTCGGGGAAACGAGGTAATATTATATCTTGTCGAGAGGATTTTTTTTTTTCTTTCCTTCCTTCCCTTTCATGTATTTATTTCGAACGGATAATTAGATGGAGAAGGATGGGAGGATATTTTAGAAGAAGAATCTTGATGATACGCTCCAAACGCTAAACATTTCATTTCTCTTCGAGCGAAACTGATTTGAAGTCGAATCCTTCATCTCGTCAACATTTAATCAAGGCAAACGTTGCTCCAATAATTCTAGGATAACGATTCGATTGGATTTTCTCTCAATTTTTTTCCTTACCTTCGATATTCTTCTTCGTTTTAGACACAAGGAGGGGGAAAGAGGAGGAGGAGGAAGAAAAATTCGAACGAAAACTGCAACACCGAAAAAGAAGAGAGAGAGAGAGAGAGAAAAAATTGTGTAAGAGCCATCACACATCCCTCCCCACCCCTTTCAATCAACGCAAACATTCTCTCCCCAATAATTCCGCCACCTCGCCCCGCATTCATTAAAACCCCGGCCGCCGTTAATTCCCATCCAGGGATCCCGCCAAGGATCCAGCGAACAAAACTGGGTAAAACTCGAGTCGATAAATCCATCCCATCGTGTGAAAACGAGCGACACGAGCGCCGGTGGAAAATATCCGGGTGAGTGAGGAGGGAGCTCATTTAACCAGGCCGCGGGATTGTTCGAGGCCTGTTGACAGGCCACCCACGACTCATTTCGATCTTATCCCTCAGACACACACACACACCCCCCTCCCCTCCCCGGGGTATAATCCGTTTGAATTACACCCGTCAACGCGCCACACTTTTACTTAGATCGAGCACCTGTTAAAACTGTTGCCGACACGCTGCCGTTCCCTTCCTGCAAATTTTTTCGAGAGATCAACAAGCGCTTGGAATTCGGGAAGCGATGTTATTAATTGAGAGGAAAGATGGATACAAGGATAGGATATTTCGTAATATTGAAATTTTTAGAGAGATCCGTCAATTTTCGAAGGTATGTATATTTTTCGATCCGTGTCTTCTGCGATTAAAAGGGAATTTATCTTGATTAATCTGATGGATTAAGTATCGGTGATTTTGAAAGAAACATTATCCTGTCGCTTCATTAAATCGTAGGACAATAATCGTTCCGTTTAAATTATCAGACCGAATGATCTGTATAATACGATAACGGGGGCCCATTTGCTTTATTACTGGAGGAGTTGAAAATTTTATATTATCGCTTAATAAGTTATCGCGCTCGGAAGCTAATAATCCAGCTTGCCTCTATTTTGTCCGCCGGATGAAGTCGCGATAATTACACCGGATATTGTAAGAATATTTATCCCCAGCTTTCCCTACTTCCACGAGGGAATATTTTAAAAATCTCACCGTTTCGATCATAACCATTGCGTTTGTTAATCAATAATCATCACTTTTCAGAAATATAAGAAGAAAATAATTTCAAGTCTGAAGCAGGAATAAATTAGAAAACATTTCTCTGTTCTCCACGTTTGAAACGTGTTATTTCGTTTCATCGGGAATATTATTCGAACAGTTGAGACGAGGTATTAACACCTCTTTCACGTCAGATCACGATGGGGGATCTGAATAACGGATAAACCGTTAAAACGCCCGTGAATTTCTAAAACGGAGCAACGATGACACTCGTAAACTCGCTTCCAACTTTCACTAACGAGACTCTTACGTTGGAAAAGATGGACGAAGATAGGTAAAAATGGTATTAAAACGAAGACTGTTAGCCAAAAAAAAAAAATCGTGAAATCTGCCGATAACCGAAGCAAATCATATCTGAACTCCAGATTAAAAATCATTCTGAATCGATGATGGACATACTTGGATTAATTTTTTTTTAACATCCTGAAATCTAAGTGGATTAATTTAACTTTCCTCGATGCTTGTTAAGAAGAATTTATCTCGAAAAATTGCACTTTGAGTTCAAGTTCCAAGAGAGAGAGAGAGAGAGAGAAAATGGAATGTTACCCTAATCTCTCTTTACCACTTTTATTTATTTCGTGTTATTATTGTTGTTTTAATAAAATAAATATACTGTTACATCGTATATATACCATTTGAAAATGAGAGAAAAATCTGCTGTTATTTAGATCAATAATCAAGATCGTTTCCATCAGGCGGAAACGACGAAACTCTCGACATCCACCCTCGATGAGCTTTTATTATTTATCGTTACTTCACAGAGTTGCCTGTCGGTTTTAGCCTTTTATGGTTAGCCTTTAATAGCCGTCCAGCGTGGAAGTTTCGAAACGACTCTTTATGCGGTGCACTTAGCAACGTCGAGACTCCCATTTCATCGGGAAATCGATGAAAAACGTATTAGGATATAAAATGAACGAGAGAGTACAACACTTGTCTCTCTCGCTCTCTCTCTTTCTTATTTTGATATTCAAAGCATCGATGCTCAAAAGAAATCTGATTTTTTTCTCTGTGTTCCAGCTCGGGGAGACGTTAAATCCTGAACTGCAGATCATAACCAGCGTGTTCAACAAAGTTATATATCGAGGTGAGTAAATGCATAAAATTTTTGAAAATTTTGTTGATGATTCGAGGAGTTCAATTGTTGCAGGAATTTTATTTTGGACGTTAAACGAAAGATTTTTCAAGGAAGTCAAATGTTATCAACTCGTGAATAAAAGATTCGAGAAATTCTTCTGTTTCTAATTATTCTTTTTAGAAACACCAGGGAAAGAATTTAAGAATCGAAAATTGAACGAAAATTTTTTCACCTCTAAATGTGAATAATCTCTAGTATATAAAAAAGAGAAGAAGTAATCGAAATATATATATATAAATACTCCTTTGTTAAAATTACATTAAAATACGTTAAAATACAAGGAATTCGTGGTGGATTCGTCAAGAATTTCCAGAATAATTTCTCAACGTGAAAAAATTTTCATTCCAAATGGCGGCGAGCATTGGCGAGAAAGGGAAGGGGAAAAAAAAGAAAAAGAGAAAGAGAAAGAAAGATAAAAATATATCACCACTCTTTCGAAATACTTCACGAAGCAACGAAAGATTAAAAACTGTGCCACGTGGTCCTTCGGGGATCGCGTTTTAAGGATCGTCGGTGTCGCGAGCGAAATTACACAGCACGTGCTTCCCAGCAATCGTTATTCTCCGGGAAATATTCACCGCGATAAACATTCATACCAAATCCCTAGTCTCGCGTTATACATAATACATATCCGCCACGCTGTATTGTCCCCCAAAAAAAG